AATGTTTTGGGTTATTGTCTTGATGAATCTGGCAATCAGTGCCACTGAGACGCAGTTTTTGAATATCTGGACTTCGATTCTCGTTGAGAATGTCTCTATAAACATGCTTGTCCATAGTGTCATCAATAAACACAAGGTTTCCAACTCCAGAAGCAGCAAAACACCCACAAACCATTACATTACTTCCACCGTGCTTAACCGTTTTGAGCAAGTTATTTTCCTGAAGCTCCTTCTTAGGTTTCCGACAGATTTTTTGCGCTCCATCTGAGCCGAGTCCAAATTTAATCTATTAGGGTCTGATGGAGCGCAAAAATCCAGATATTCAATAATAATAACTAGTATTATTTATTAAAATTATAGACCGTTTAACTCCAGTATTCGATACTCAAAGATTAAAGAAAAACGATATGAGTATCCATCATACGACTTCGTGGGTCGCAGACATCACATATTATTGCCGATGCGAGTCGCCCCGAAGGCACTAAGCTACCAGGGGTGATTAGGCATCGTAATGCGATCTTCGATACTCCAGACATAGCCGCCTTATGAGAAATCCAAAAAAATTATTGGATTACTTTCCCTAAAAGTTTGAGGCAATGCGGTACATCTCAAGGTCCCTCCCCCAAGTTCCGCCCACTGCACACTGGTCCAAATTCCCGATTTGGTGGCATAAATTCCAAAAATGTAGTTACAGAGTTGATAATTGCCATATTCAATAATTGTACCATAAATAATATTTAGACAAAAAATTGGACCAATTTAACCCCGCCCATGTAACCCTACGTTGCGCATGCGTAATTGAAGTTAGCACATTTAATATGTGTATATATAAGTATTTATTATAATTGGGAGCCAATATTTTTGTTTGAAATATTTATTTTAAAATAATAATTGTGTTTTAATTATCTTCTATTTCTAATTCAAATGAATATGGGTTTACTTTCAGAATCGGTATCTTTATCCGTGTTAGAAGCATTATTGTTATTGAATGCAAAGCAAGCTACTTTTAATAAAGAGATAAAATCTTTAGGCAATACTTGTTTCTTGTTTTGAGCTGATCTTTTTTTGAGACATATACTCGAAATAAGTGGATCGGAGAAGTCAATCGATCTTAAAAACACATCCAACATATTATTACTCCGAAAATTTTGGTGTGCATGCATTTTTCTGTCCCGTTTATAAAATTTATTTTTCGCTTCTGAAGCATTTGCTATATTCCGTTTAAGACGAGCTCCTGCTGATTCATAAGATAAAGGCGGTCGTCCCACTTTAATTGCCGATGATGTTTCTAGAACATCTCTGCTTTATGGGATATCCAAGCTTGTTGAAAGCCACTTTGACTGTTTTGCTTTCAAAGTTTTTAAATTATTAAAGCATTGTGGCAAATTAAAAAAAAAATATATATGTAGGTCAAAACTTTTGAGCCTTATTTTGATCGCTTATATAGATTTTATAAATTTGCTCACATATCCAGCTGGATACCGCAGATGCTTTTCGATTGCTTTTTGCCCAAATGTCAAAAAGTGCCGCGCGGCAGTACGCTAACTTTGCTGTAATTTGTCAAATACAAAGTTAATGTGCTAAAAGCCGTGAAAATCAATGGTAACACAATTTAATACATACTTTCAATTTAACATAATTACAAATTGGTAGAAATTGGCAGGAAGTTAGTTTCCACTCTACAGTAGACACACACGATAGTTAAGTTTTTTTTTTTTTTAGGACAAAACAAGCTATTAACATAAACAAATGAACACATTTTGTTGCATTTACATTTTACATACCTTGTTCAATATTATCCTTTACTAAAAATGATTAAAATATTGTTTTGTTTAAAGTTTCACAAGCACAAAGTCTGCTAAAATTTTCCCTTTTTTCGCAAAGTAAACAGCTGATTAAAAAATGCGCAAAAATTCCAGGGATGCAGAAATTAAAAAAAAAAATTTTTAATTTAAAATATTTCAAGTGTGCTTTTTATACCCCTGAGTTATAGATTTTTAAAGCAAAACTCAATATCCGCGTGGTATACACGGACATTTCACAAAAAAATTGAGGTCTCTTGCTCTTGTATCTTCTGAAATCGACGCGTTCAAACATACTGACAGACGGACAGAGGCAAATCGACTCAGCTCGTCGCCCTGATCAAGAATATAATAATATGCCACGCCTCCTTCTGCCTGTTACATACATATCAACAAAACCATTATACCCTGATTTCCCATTTATAGGGTATAATTAAAACGAAACATGTATGAACAAGTAAGAAAGCTCTAGTCGAGACTACTCGACTACGAGATCCCCTGAACCCTTGGAGCAATAGCTATTTCAATAATTTTTCGCGTCTTACAGCTTACACAAGAAACACGCACACACACACACACACGCGCACGCACGCACGCACACACAGGCATACATACACATACACACACATACATACACACATACACACACATACATACACACATACACACACACACACACACACACACACACACATACATACACAAACAATTACATACATATACACACACACAAGCATAAACACGCATGGGCGGCAGTGAGCGCTACTATGAGAACTTAATTGCTTAATAACTTTTTTGTGGACGTACGATCATCATGAAACTTTCAGATTATGATTATGACATGGATATGCATGTAATTGCCAAAGCACAAGTCTCTAGTATTTGAAATACGCTTTTTACAAAAGTGAGGGTGAGGGGGTGAATTTAGAGGTGGGGGGTAAATTTTAACAAAAACCGAAATTGTATAAATTGCATATAAGCATACATTAAAAATTTGGAGACTCTAGCAATAAAGGTGTAGAAGATATAATTTTATAACTGGTTTTCGATAAGGTTTTTTATCGATAAAAAAGATCGGGATGAGTTATCGATTTTTAATGATAAACTTGATATGCGCGCTGTAATTACGAACATTTTAAAAAAAATTTGAAGTCTCTAGCTCTTATATCTTCTGAAATCGACGCGTTCATACATACGGACAGACGGACAGACGGACGGACGGACAGACGGACAGACGGACAGACGGACAGACAGACGGACAGGGCCAAATCAACTCAGCTCGTCGCCCTGATCAAGAATATATATACTTTATGGGGTCTGCCACGCCTCCTTCTGCCTGTTATATACATTTCAACAAAACCATTATACCCTGATTTCCCATTGAAAATGGGTTCAGGGTATATAAAAAAAAAATTGAATAATAATAACATCGAAGAGGTTTTGAACCTTCCCTACTTTAACATAACTTGCGTCGCCTTTAGCACCCGCGCCACTGCTTTACTTTTAGAATAACTTAATAACAGAGCGTGATCTGAAAAACTACAATAACGGCTAGAAAATCCAGAAATCAATCGAAATTCGTAGAATATGCTAAATGACGCAATTTTGTCTGTACGCATAGAATACACGATGAGTGTGTGCATATCTATAGGAAAATCTGCTGCTAACTTGGAGGCGGTAACCAAAATATAACAAAAATCGAGATTGTATAGATAAGATATGTAATTTTAAGATCCTAGCTGCAATCATGTACTAGATATGTATAAAAGGGAAGAGCAATGATTTCTTAATTTTAATGGGATCAGACCCTGCTTTTGTTGCGCACTAGAGACTTTAAAATTGCACTATATGTACATATACTCGTGCTGACAGCGTTTGGGCTGTGAATGAGTATTCTGGAATCTGTATCGCCCGATTGCAACGTTTTTACTTGTTGTCACTAACCACAAAACACATAGACCGGACAAGTAATGTAAAGCGTTTTGCATACCTTTTTCGAGCATTAGTTCCCAGACCACTTCGTATTTGCTCGGCTCCTCACTTTTAGGTTCGGGCTACGAAAAAATGGGAACACAAAATCATTTCTCTTTATGCGCTCGGCCGAGATGGTCGGCTGTTGAACAAAAGATTGAAATTTCTTCGCAGCAAGAACCCATGTCTTCCCTTCTGAGTGAAGAGTACTCCGAACTTTTCAAGCCGTTTGCCACGCTTTGTTTCATTAACGTTTCAAAATATTTGAAAAATTGCTATAAAATTTAATCATTAATAAAAAGTTTCAAAATATTTGAAAAATTGCTATAAAATTTAAAAACCTTGCTGTACCAATAATTTAGTTCGTCACTGTATATGTATTAGTGCTAGGACACTTGAAGCAGTTAATCGTTACCACTGTGGTATTTTATAATTTCATTGATGTTCTCTTTGACTGTAAACTTAATTTTAATCTTCATATTTCTACCATCATTAATGAAGCTAAAAGTGTGGTTGGCGCCCAGGCATAAGCACTGGTATATATTTTGTTGCTAATGTGGTGCTGTGCTTTCTCATTCCGATCCTAGAGTCTATTTTGATACCCTGAATCCATTTTCAGTGAGAAAACAGGATATAATGGTTTTCTTAAAAGCATGTAACAGGCAGAAGGAGCCGTGGCAGACTCCTCTAAGTATATACTTATGTATATTCATGATCAGGGCGACGAGCTGAGTCCGTCCGCTGAACGCGTCAATCTCAGAAGATAAATTTAGTATATGATGCGCATATCGAGTTCTTCTCCATCGATAACTTATCGCTTAATTAATTTTTGAAATTATTCCTCCACCCCTATATCTACCTCATCACCATAAATTTATAATAATTTATTTTTTTACAATAATTTATATATATATATTTATAATAATTATTATAAGTTTATAATTACGATCTGAAATTTTCATGAGGATAGTCCCTCAAGTTAGTTATTAAAAAATTAAGTTCCCGTAGAAAGCCCAAACTGGCGTGTATATGCGTGTGTGAGTATGCCTGTGTGTGCGTATGCATGTGCATATGTTGTTTCTTTTATAAGCAGAAATGAAGCGAATAAATATCAGTTGTTCGAAGGGTTCGGGGTATCTCCTAGTCGAGCAGTCTCGACTAGCGCTTTATTGATATACATCTAAAAAGCTCATAATTTATAAAAATAGTATACTTCATTTTTAATAGGGGTATGAATATTCGAGAAGTGGGAATCCCACAAGAAATGTATTAGAAAATTGCTTAGCAGCTCTGGACAATGCAAAGTATGGTTTAACTTTTTCATCTGGTCTTGGTGCTACTACTGCTGTCATTACTATGCTCAATAGTGGTGATCACATTGTAATAGGAGATGATGTGTATGGGGGAACAAATCGACTGATAAGGTGAGTTATATTTTGTATCAAAGTATTTATCTAAAAGTTTTTTCTAAAAATTTTAGACAAGTGGCATCAAGGCTAGGAATTTCGGCAAGTTTTGTCGATGCTACTAATTTAAATATACTTAAGGCTGCCCTCAAGCCTGAAACTAAGGTATGTTACACTTAAATATTATATTTTTATTAGTATAATAAATAACTATTTCTAAGTAGGCCGCTGCCAAGATTAATTACTCCATATAAAATTCCCATATCATTTTTAAACTTTCAAATACGGTTATCGAATATTTTTAAAATATCGTATCGATTATACCTATTTTAAGTTTTGAAAAAAAATATCAATAGGATATTTGATATGCAGCTTAAAAAAAAAATCGGTGTATCAATATATTTTAATTTTTTCCCCTTATGATAAATAAATCCGCCAAAAAAAAAAAAAAATAATAATAAATAAATAAAAAAAAAAGACAAGAAAGCTGTAGTCGACTCTGCCCGTCTACAAGATCCCCTGAACCCTTTCTAGAATCCACCTTGGAACCGGGAGTTATCCTGCATTAACCTTCAAGGTGGAACCCCATATTGTGCTCTAAATGAGCGTTGCCCTCTGTGTGCATGCGTCCAGGTCATACTTCTTCCGCCGCAGAACCTTTTCGGCGAAGTCATAGACTTTTTTCCAAGCATCTATGCTGCTGCACATTTACTGTACTAATGTCTCTACTTTGACTTCACCGACTGTTTCTGCCAGGTCGATTCTTTCTTCCGACCACCTTTTGCAGTTGAAGAAAGTGTGTTCTGCATCGTCCATTACATTTTCGCAGTAAATACAGCTGGATTCGGCAGTTTTCACCATTTTATTTAGATACTTTCGAAAGTATCCATGTTCGGAAAGTAGTTGTGTCAAATAGAACGACGTTTCACCGTGTTTTCTATTTATCCACTTCTCTAGATCGCGGATTATTCTAGCGGTCCATCTTCCATACCTTTCGCATGACCATCTCGCCTTCCACGAGACTATGGTTTGCTGTCGTATACTCTTTGCCGCCTTTGCCGAAGATTCCATATTTTTTTGCGCTCTTGGGCAAGCAAGTCAACCAGTATGACTGCTGCTATCACAGTCACGGCAGCCCCGGAGACTGTGCGGTACGCCGATGTTATCCTTAAGGCTGTTCTGCGTTGCACTGATAACATCGGTTTTCGCCTTACATTCGCCTTTAAGGTGTCCGCCCATACTTCACTTCCATATAGCAATATTGCATTTGTCGCTTCCATGAGGAGTCTGCCGTCGGGCCGTCAATGTTTGCCATCAGTTCACTCAAAGACCCCGTTGCTGTCGCTGTTTTCCGCGTGGCATGCTTCAGCTGTTCCCCGAAGGTAAGTTTACTGTCTAATCTAACGCCTAGATAGTTCAGTGTCCTCTGAGTCCTTATAAGGTTTCCGCTTACTTGCATCTCTATTTCGGTTGGGATCTGATTCCCCGTGAACAGAAGTAACTCTGTTTTATGGGTGGCCAATCCAATCCAAGTTCCAATCCCCGAGAGCTGAGCCATGTCTGCGTGCGGATCATGACTTAGGTTAGTCTCTTTTGGGCCTCTACGGTGTTTCTGGCAGTAATAACGGCTGCGATATCGTCGGCATAGCCAATAAGGAAGGTGTCTTCAGCCATTTCCAGTCTTAGGATGTCGTCGTAGCTGATATTCCACAGGTCTGGTCCCAGGATTGACCCCTGTGCAGCTCCTTCAGTCACTCTATACCGTTTCGTAACAGTTTGGAGTACAGGATTATTCGATCCTGCAAATAGTTCCTGATCATATTCATCAGGTACTCCTCCGGTACATGGAAGCGATTCTCCAAGGAAGCAAGCATATCGGTCCACCTATTAAAGGCGTTTCTAACGTCCAGCGTTGCTAGCAGAACCACTGGGCGCGAGCATGTATTTCCTCTTTGCGTAGCTCTGGCTGCCTGAACCACTTCATCGGTAGCTCCCATTGTGGGTTTTCCTGCTCTGAGCCCGTGTTGCCTGGCGCTAAGTCCTCCAGCGGCCTCTACCGCGGCGAGTAGTCTGGGTCTTATGAGCTTTTCTAACAGCTTCCCCGCTGTGTTTAGCATATACAATGGGCGATAAGCCGGTGTGTCGGGATCGCCTTTGCCTTTGCTAATGAGCATCAGTCTCTGTTCTTTCCACGCTTCTGGGAATATCCTTTCTTTTAGGCATGCTTTATACATCCTATGTAGAAATGTAGGCCGTCCTGATGCTATCACCTTCAGTATCTCTGCCGGTATATTACCTGGCCCGGCGCTTTCTTATTCTTCAGGGAGAGAGCCGGATGTGGATGTGCGTTGGAAATAGTGTTTCCACTATGTGATCCATCGTATCATCATCCATGTTTGGCACTGCTCCGTAGTTTCTCAGCTTCTTCATGACTAGCTTGAAGCCGAGCCCCAAGGGTCTTTATTTATATCTTTGCAGAGCTCTTTCCACTTGTCATGCTTGCTGCGTGTGATAGCAATCGACAGTTCTTTTCTCGCAATCTTAGCTGCTAACGCTTCCGTCATAAAATTTCCAGAGCATCGTGCCCTTGTTAGCCTTCTTCTACATTGTATGCATACCTTCCTTTTTTCTGCAATATCGTGGTTCCACCAGTTCGCCTGTCGTATACCTCTGTGTTTGCTATGCGTTTTTGACATCGAAACGTTATACGCTCTTTCCATAGCTGTTAGGCTTCTTTCGACCACTTGCTTCGAGGTCAATGTGCCGTCGAACTGTCGTTCTCGTCTATCTAATTTAGCTAGTAATTTGCCTGTACCCACCTTGCTTATGTCCCATCTGTGAGAAGTTTTTCTTGGGCATGATGGAGGTTTTTGCTGACTGGTATTCTGGATATCATATGATATATACTCGTGATCACTGCCCGTGAAGTCATCGAGTATCTTCCAGTCCTTTATCCGATCTACAATGTGTTCGGATCCAAAGGTTACGTCAGGTATTGGGCCTTCACATCCCGGCCTATGAAAGGTAGCTCTGCTTCCGCGGTTTGCTACCACTAACCCGGACCTAGCGGCCATATCCATGATTTTCCGTCTTCTGGAGTTAGTAGAGGACATTCCCCAGTCTACTGCTCTTGCATTCAGATCGCCAGCCACGATGAAGGGCTGGGCTCAGTTTATAACAAGTAAGAAAGCTCTTGTCGGGACTGCCCGACTAAGAGATCCCCTGAACCCGTCGTGCAACTGATATTTTAGTAATTATTCGCACACACATACACGCACACGCACACAGCCATACGCATGCACGCATAAACACGCATTGGCTGCAGTGGTGGATAACTATGGGAAGTTAATTGTTTAATAATTCTTGTGGATGGACTATCTTCAAGAAACTTTCAGATTACAAATATAACATAGATTTACATGTATTTGCCAAAGCACTAGTCCCTAGTATTTGAAATACGCCTTTTACAAATGTGAGGGTGAGGAGGTGAATTAGGGGTGGGGAGTTAATTTTGACAAAAACCGAAATTGTATCGATAACAAAATAACGGGGCAAGTTATCGATATTTAAAGCAAAACTCGATATGCGCGTGCTATACACGGACCGAGGAAAAAAATTTCAAGTCTCTAGCTCTTATATCTTCTGAGATCGACGCGTTCAAACATACGGACAGACGGACGGACGGACAGAGCTAAATCGACTCAGCTCGTCGCCCTGATCAAGATATATATACTTCTGCCTGTTACATACTTTTAACAAAACCATTATACCCTGATTTCTCATTTTCAACGGGTTCAGGGTATAAAAATCATAATAGATCGACTCCTATTTCAGTGAATTTACCTTCTGTGCAATCTTCATAAAACATTGTACCAAAAAACTAAATAATTTACAAACTTCTTCTCAGCTGTCCCTGATTTACCAAAACGTACGTGGCTCAAATTCTAAACTTAAAAGTCTATTCTTGCATAGTTTTAGTGTACAATATGATATCGCTTTCACTGAAACATGGTTAAGATATAATATTCATAATAGTGAGATCCTTTCAAGTAATTTCACTATTTATAGACTTGACCGTTCGAGGGGGTGGTGTGTTAGTTGCTGTCCTCATCCTTTTCGTTCCTTCATGATGCAGAGGTTATAGGGGTTAAATTAACACTCCCATCGTGCTCATTATTTATTACATGTTCTTATATCCCTCCTTCATCTGGTGTATAAGTTTATGCTCAAGATATTGATTGTATTAAAGAAATTTATGAAAATATAAATTATAGAAACTTGCTCCTTGTGCTGGGTGATTTTAATATTCCGAACACTTATTGGCCATCAACGTGTACAACAAATTATTTTATTCCGACAATTGATCACTATCTTTTTGATGAATTGTTTAACCTGTCTATGACTTCCATACTCCAGTGCAAATGAGTATTTGTACCTTCAAGATGACCTTAATGCATTTCATCTTTGGTGTGTGGCAAACCATTTGCACATAAATTTCTCAAACTGTATGACAATTACCCCCAGTCGTACCGTTCCTCATATTGTTGAATATAAAATTATTAGCATTTCCTTAGGACGCATCTGTACAGTCAAAGATCTTGGTGTTCTCTTTGACTGTAAACTTAATTTTAATCTTCATATTTCTATCATCATAAATTAAGTATGCTTTTTTTTATCGCTGGTGTAAGGATTTTTAACATCTTTTTATTACCAAGCAATTATTTATTTTGCTTATGCGTCCTATCTTAGAGTATTGCTCACTTGTATGGTCTCCGCAACAAAAACTGCATCAGGATCGTATAAAAACCGGTCTAAATACTGTTTCTTCTCTTTGTCTTAAGGGATCTTAACTGGGACAGTAATTTACGATGACCATCTTAGTAGGCTTCAACTCGTTGATCTTTCGTCATTAATCAATCGCAGAACAGTTTTAGGAATTGTTTTTATACCCTGGATCCATTTTCAATGGGAAGTCAGAGTATAATGTTTTTGTAAATGTATGTAACAGGCAGAAATAGGCGTGGCAGACCTTACAAAGTATATATGTATATTCTTGATCAGGGCGACGAGCTGAGTTGATTTGGCGCTGTCCATCTGTTTGTCTGTCTGTCCGCCCGTCTGTCAGTATGTTTGAACGCGTCGATTTCAGAAGATACAAAAGCTAAAGACCTCAATTTTTTTTTTTGTGAAATGTCCGTGTATACCAGGCGGATATGGAGTTTTGCTTTAAAAATCTATAACTCCTCCCGATATTTTTTATCGATAAAAAACCGTATCGAAAATCAGTTATAAAATAATATCTCTTGCAACTTTAAAGCTAGTCTGCAAATTTAAAATGTATACTTTTATGCAATTTATACAATATCGGTTTTTGTTAAAATTTACCCCCACCTCTATATCCACCCCCAAACTCTGTTTGTAAAAGGCGTATTTAAAATACTAGCGACTTGTTATAATCACGATCTGAAAGTTTCATGAAGATCGTATGCGCACAATTAAGTTCTCATGTGCACACTGCAGCCCATATGTGTTTATCCGTGGGTGCTTGTGTGTGTAAATGTGTTTGTGTGTGTGTGTTTTTTTTTATTTTTATATTCCTTTATTGACAATCTTTATAATACAAGTTGCAAGTTACGTGGTGGCTAGGATAGTGCGCGATGCTTGCGGGACGGCCGTAAAGCATTGCTTCGCAAGCACTGTGCGCTACCTTAGCCTGGGACAGCTCGTCTTCTCATTCGCTCGACTCTGCGGAGCTCCATCATCATTCGCTCGACTCTGCGGAGCTCCATCATCACTGTGGCCGCGAAGGTGCTTGTTAGTTCCCAAGCTTCCTCCGATTCCAGCATGGCGTTGACAATGTTGTCCGCTCTGATGGAGCGGCCCACTGCCTCTTCCAGACGACGCCTCTCCTCCAGGAACCGTCCACATTCGAAAAGAATGAGGTTGGCGTCTTCCACATGCCCTCGCTCGCACCAGGGGCACTCGTCAGATTCCTCGTGGCCAAAGCGCTTCAAATAGCTCCGAAAGCATCTATGTCCCGAGAGGATCTGCGTAAGGTAGAAGTTTACCTCGCCGTGTTTGCGGTTGACCCATGGTTCAAGCTCCGGGATGAGCTTGGGCGTCCACCGCCCTTTAGCTGAGCTATTCCACTTTCTTTGCCATCGTGCAATGCTGTTTGCCCTGATAGCGTTGAGTCGCGCAGGCGCGTGCGAATTCCGCTCCGCGTCATCGGAGATAGTCCTGAAAGCGCAGTAGACTCTGATTGCGCTCAGTCTGTAGATCGCGCAAATGCCCCGGCTGTAGCTCGGCGTTGCCATCGCTCTTGCCCATATTGGCGCAGCATAGAGGATGACGGACCTAATGACGCTCATTAGAAGGAGACGTCGTTGCTGTTTAGGTCCCCGCGTGTTAAGCATAATTCTCCACAGAGCTCTACAAGAATCAGCTGCCTTTTTATGCACATATTCTAAGTGCTCGCGGAAAGTTAATCTTGTGTCTATCATGACACCAAGATACTTTATCGCCCTCTTTGACGCAATGGTGACGCTGCTGATCTTTTTATTGGCAGTTTCCACTCTTTTGCGACTGCTGACTAGGACAACTTCAGTTTTGTGTGCCGCTAGCTCGAGCCCAGCTCCAGTCAACCAGTTTCGTATGCGATTGATACTTTCGCTGCACATATCCTCTGTATCTTTGAGTTCCTTTCCTATGGTTACGACAGCCACATCATCAGCAAAGCCAATGGTGTGCGCGCCTGCTGGTACTTCCAAGCGCAGTACGCCGTCGTAAATGATATTCCATAGGAGAGGCCCCAGCACTGAGCTGACACTGTATGAGTTTGGGGACCCTCACTCGTATTGTATACCAGTGTTCTTCCTCTGAAGTAACTCTTTATTGTTTCTTTAAGATATTTAGGGATATTATATTGTGACAGCGCATTCAGTATCATATCCCAACTAGCTAGCATTCTTTACGTCCAGAGTCGCAATAATGCAGTATTGCTTCGTCCCATGCTTCCATCTTGTGCCATGGATGGCGGAAGTGGCCAGACCAACAACTTTGTTTAGCGCATCCGTTGTTGACCGGGCCTTCCGGAATCCAAATTGATTTGGTGATAGGCCTCCGGCGCTAGTAATCGCAGTCTCTAGTCTAGAGCAGATCAATTTCTCAAACACCTTTCCCATGGTGTCTAAGAGACAGATCGGTCTGTATGAAGATGGCTCATCTGGTGATTTGCCAGCCTTGGGTAGCAACACCAGGTTCTGGGCTTTCCATTTTGCCGGGAACGTCTCTTGAATTAGTCATTCGTTGAATAATTCAGCGAACGTACTAGGGTGCAAGGCGAGGGCTAGCTTTAGCGCACGATTTGGGATCCCATCCGGCCCTGGAGCAGTGTTGGTTCTAAGACCCCGGAGTAACTCTCCTATGATTTCTTCCTCTGTGACTAAAACAATTTCAGTGCTCGTTGAGCCCTGATCAGCAGACTCGGACGCAGGGGCGTGAATGGAGCTTAAACTTTCTGGAAAGAGCGTATAGTCTTTTAACTACTATCTTATATGCCATGCCCCAAGGGTCATATTCGGCTGAGTCGCACAACTCTAGAAAGCATTCTCTTTTGCTTGCCCGAATGGCCCTCTTCAGCTGTCTTCCAGCTGCCTGGTAAGCTAATTGTTTCTCAAAAAACGTAGACCTACCGCGAGCCCGTTGGTAGTTTCTTCTCGCCTGGATGCATTAGCGACGAATGTCACCTATTTGTGCATTCCACCAATACGTAGGCTCTTGTTGTCGCGTTAACTGCTTGCGGCGTAACATGCTGCTATTGCAGGCACTCTGTATTTGGGCTACCATTTGGTATGCTCTGGCCTCAGAATTACCAATTGTGCCCAGAGACTGAATGGCCTCTGAAAAGACTACGGGATCAAAAGCCGATACGACTCCCTCCACAAGGTTGACGCCCTGGCAGGTGGCTCACCTATTGTGAATAGAAGTGCCGTATGATCGCTGCCCATATAGATATCGCAATGGCTCCATGTTGCTCCCCGAAAGAGGGATGAAGTGACAAAAGTAATGTCGATAACAGATCCGTATCCCGCCCGACTGAAGTTATACTCGTGGCCAGTGTTGAGCAGTGCAACATCTAGTGTCGCGAAGATCTCCAGTAGGATATCACCTCTGGCATTTGTTGTGAAGCTACCCCATTCTAACGCCCAGGAGTTGAAATCTCCAGATATAATGGCCTTCCGACCCCTAGCATCCTCGGCAAGCTCGTTGAGCACCGCAGAAAGACACGAAAATATCAGTTGCTCGAAGGGTTCACGGGATTTCGTAGTCGGGCAGTCTCGACTAGAGCTTTCTTTCTTGTTGTCTGTCAATTGGGGCATAGCTGGCCGGAATGGCAAATTAAATACCCCATCGGGTTGGTGAGACTATTGTAATAATTTTCTATACATTTTGTAGGCTTATTAATTATAGTTTTAGTTGATTCTAGTATTGTCAATATCTTTACATAAAATAAAAAACTCTTAATGTATAAAATTATATTTGTATTCAATTGCTTTTTTTAGCTGGTTTGGATAGAATCACCAACAAATCCACTTATAAAAGTTGCGGACATCGAAGCGATTGCAAAAATATGCCATCAGGTTGGAGATATAATAGTAGCGGTAGACAATACATTTCTTACCTCATACTTTCAACGACCTCTCGATTTGGGGGCAGATCTAGTCTGCTATTCATTAACAAAATATATGAATGGGCATACGGATGTTGTTATGGGAGGAATAACAATGAACTGTGATGATCTATATACGAGATTAAAATTTTTACAAAACGGTAAGACTAACACTATTATTAAAAAGTATTATTTATTTATTATTTTATATTATTTATTATTTCAGCGGTTGGTATTGTTCCATCTCCGTTTGATTGTTATCAAGTTAACCGCAGTCTGAAAACATTATCATTGCGTATGCAAAAACATCAGCAAAATGCACTCGAGATTGCAAAATTTCTTGAATCACATAATTTTGTTGAAAAAGTTCTCCATCCAGCGCTGGAATCCCATCCACATCATTCTATTGCTCTTAAACAAACATATGGCTATAGTGGAGTATTTTCCTTTTATATCAAAGGATCCCTAAAGCATTCTACAGCTTTTTTAAAAGCCCTAAAGGTGTTTACATTAGCCGAGAGTCTTGGAGGATATGAAAGTTTGGCTGAGTTACCGTAAGTATTCGTAAATGTTAGATAATGTAGCAGAACACATCATTTATTTTTTGACTCAAATTAAGAAAACGCACTTAATTTATAATATTATATACTATATTCTACATAATGCACTGAGACTTTTTTCAACTTATTTTTTAGATCAATCATGACACACGCCTCTGTTCCTTTTGAAGACCGAAAAGCGTTGGGTATTACTGATGCTCTTATTCGTTTGTCAGTCGGACTAGAGGACTCTGATGATTTAATAAACGATCTACGTTGTGCTTTGGATATTGCAGCCCAAGTTGAAACTCTAGATAAATCAAATTAAGCTAAAATTTTGTGTGTAATGGTAAAATTTGAAAAAAATTGATGATATATATAAAATGTAGTATGTGATGTAATTAAACCATTTTTTTTTTAACATTCGGGGCATTTTTCCATAATATTAAAGTAAACATTTATTTTATTACTGATTGGATGGACGGACGGACACACGGACATAGCTATATCGATTCATACTTTATGGGATCAGTCACGCTTGACTGTTACTTAAATAAACAAGTAAGAAGCTCCAGTCGAGACTGCTCGACTACGAGATCCCTGAACCCTTCGAGCAACTGATATTTCAATATTTATATTCACAACGGTACTTGGGTCAAAAACCTTCTTAACAATCTAATAGACAAACAATATGAGATCAGTATAATCGTGCCAAAACACTTTCAAAATAACTGCTTGACAGAGCATAAGTGGCGTAAGTGTCACAACCGCTTCCGCTTCAAATGCTAAATTAACAAAATAATAAAACCAAACCAGACATTTATATGCACTGGGTCAACTTTTTATGGGTAGTCTTAAGATTCAACTGTAAGAGAACTGCAGCTCTCCAAATAAAGTCGAATTAAAACAAGTAAGAACGTTGCAGTCGGGCGTTACCGACTGCGGAATACTCATTCACATCCCATCAACAATTTAGTAGCTAAGTTTCGCTCTAATACTGTAGAATATACAGGTTTTTCCGATTTGCCACGCCCCAACTGGGCGTAGACACCTCATTTTTGGTCAGTTTTTAGAAAGAGATAACGGTACCCTAACTGCAAAGTTTGAATGCTTAACCTCAAAAAATGTGAAAATTACAGGGTATTTTTCGATATGCCACGCCCCTAAAGAGGCGTACAAATTATTTTTGGGGAATCGATAGAGGAGGCTACCAGTAACTCAACTATCCAAATTTAAAGCTTCTAGCTATTATACTTTAGGAGATATAAACTTTTGTGGTTTGCCACGCCCCCTGTGGGCGGACATATATCCGACAAAACTTTTTGATCTTGGGTGATCAGTCCGAGTATATATACAAAATTTGAGGTCTCTGCCATCAATAGTGTCCAAAATATAGGAGAATTTTTAAAATCACTATATCTTCAGGTCCGATTTGCCACGCCCCCAATGGGCATAGACTTATAATTTTATCTTTAGACTTTATAGAGTCATACCATTAGCTGACGTGCAAAATTCCAGCATTCTAGGTTTACAACTTTAGGAGATACAGTTTTATCCGATTTGCCACGCCCCCAATGGGCGTAGATATATCCGCCATAGCTCGTGATCTTGGGTGGTCAACGCGGACCTACATACCAAATTTCAGCTTTCTAGCTCTTTAACTAACATGATTTCTGGTATATCGGAAAATGCATTTTCCGATTTGCCACGCCCCTAATGGGCGGATCGGGAAAATTTTAACACTTTATAAATCGGAGATATACACGAGTATGTGTTCCAAATTTCAAGTCTCTAGCTTCAATAGCGCCGAAATAGATTGCGTTCATACGGACAGACGGACAGACGGACGGACGGACAGACGGACAGACGGACAGACGGACGGACAGCAAGACGGACATTGCACAAAACCAATATACTGATTCACTTTCGTGAATGAGTATAATAAAGTGTTTAAAATATAAAAATACTAGCTGGCCCGGCAAACGTTGCATTGCCATATTCTTATTTCTAGGTAAAAAATTGTTGAAAGCTATGTTGTTCAGGTTGGGATACACTCTGATTATTAAAATTTTGAGGAAATGAAATCAAGCCACTCGATTCGTCAACAGGAATACGGCCATTACCGATATTCAGCAATTGCTTCGAGAAATTATCAGCAGATAGATCGTTCAACAATGCAACTCTCATATTTACAGACAGTTGAAGTTGGGTTACAAATCTCCACAGATTTGATGCTTTGAGGCAAACAGCAGTAGATCTTGGATTTACTGGTAGTGTTTGTCGGAAATCGCCAGATATAAAATCATTGAACCACCAAAACATCTCGAGTCATTGCGCAGATCTTTTAATGTTCGGTATAGTGCTTTCAATGCGCGTTTGTGCGCCATTGTGCATTCTTCCCATATGATAATTTTTGATGCTACTAAAACTTTGGCCATTGCGGAGTGTTTTGAAATGTTAAATGTCGGTTGTTCAGTAGCTTGAAGATTTAATGGCAATTTTAACACTGAGTGAGCCGTACGGCGTCCGTCTAACAATGTGGCCGCTATTCCAGAAGAAGCGATTGCTACCGCAATTTCGGATGTCGCACGTACAGTTGCCAAAATCAATGACTTGAGAAATGTCTTCCCAGTTCCACCGGGGGCATCCAAAAAAAATAAGCCACCATTTCCATCATCAATTGCATTAATCAGTGTATCATGGATTTCCCTCTGCTTAGGATTCAACAGTGGTACATTCGTTTATTCGTGCATTAGTTCATGTGGATCATATTCACGTTCACGGGCTGCCTCTCTTTGAGAAGCACGAATTAAGGCCCTTCATTGCTGGGTACTAACACGGAGCCTTTCTCGGGCGATTTCTCGTTCTTCGTCAGATAATTGACTCGCGATATTCCGTTGCCTAATTGCATTTTATGTCCGCCGGGAATGATTAGATCTTCTAGGACGCGGCATTTTTATACTCATTCACGAAAGTGAATCAGTCTATTGGTTTTGTGCAATGTCCGTCTTGCTGTCCGTCCGTCTGTCCGTCCGTCCGTCTGTCCGTCTGTCCGTCTGTCCGTATGAACGCAATCTATTTCGGCGCTATTGAAGCTAGAGACTTGAAATTTGGAACACATACTCGTGTATATCTCCGATTTATAAAGTTTTAGTGTGTTAAGTGTTAATTTTCCCGATCCGCCCACTAGGGGCGTGGCAAATCGGAAAATGCATTTTCCGATATACCAGAAATCATGTTAGTTAAAGAGCTAGAAAGCTGAAATTTGGTATGATCATAGATCACGAGCTATGGCGGATATATCTACGCCCATTGGGGGCGTGGCAAATCGGATAAAACTGTATCTCCTAAAGTTGTAAACCTAGAATGCTGAAATTTTGCACGTCAGCTAATGGTATGACTCTATAAAGTCTAAAGATAAAATTATAAGTCTATGCCCATTGGGGGCGTGGCAAATCGGACCTGAAGATATAGTGATTTTAAAAATTCTCCTATATTTTGGACACTATTGATGGCAGAGACCTCAAATTTTGTATATATACTCGGACTGATCACCCAAGATCAAAAAGTTTTGTCGGATATATGTCCGCCCACAGGGGGCGTGGCAAACCACAAAAGTTTATATCTCCTAAAGTATAATAGCTAGAAGCTTTAAATTTGGATAGTTGAGTTACTGGTAGCCTCCTCTATCGATTCCCCAAAAATAATTTGTACGCCTCTTTAGGGGCGTGGCATATCGAAAAATACCCTGTAATTTTCACATTTTTTGAGGTTAAGCATTCAAACTTTGCAGTTAGGGTACCGTTATCTCTTTCTAAAAACTGACCAAAAATGAGGTGTCTACGCCCAGTTGGGGCGTGGCAAATCGGAAAAACCTGTATATTCTACAGTATTAGAGCGAAACTTAGCTACTAAATTGTTGATGGGATGTGAATGAGTATTCCGCAGTCGGTAACGCCCGACTGCAACGTTCTTACTTGTTATTAATAGTAACACTGAATATGCCCTCGCACAAGACCACATAAAACAATCGAGAAATATAAATATAAATAATTTACACAAATTTATGTTTGAGACAAACAAATACCTGAACTTTCGAGATATTTAGCTTCTGTACGCACGCGTATTATTTTTATCAAATGTGTTTTTTTTATGAATAGTCAGGTTCGCCTGAGGCTGTGCCGTAGACTGACTGACTACATTTGTTTATTTTCTTCTATACTATTGTATAATATGAGAGCAGGACCGAAAACTGTTACTGTTATCAAGCCTACTGAGTATCAATGGAAATTTGAATCATTAAGGGAAAAAACGCGTTTTTCAAGTATTCGTCAAATTTTTTCAATATTTTTAAGATCTACTATCCTACTCGTGGCGGAGACAAATCGAACAAATCAAAAACCATGAAAATTGGTCCAGCACATATCAAGTTATAAGTCTCTGTACACTTTTACACAACTCTCTTTTATATATATAGATAGATATATTATCTATATATATAAAAGAGAGTTGCGTAAAAGTGTCTTAGCACTTATAACTCGAGATCTGCTGTACCAATTTTCATGGTTTTTGATTTGTTGGATTTGTCTCCGCCACGAGTAGGATAGTAGATCTTAAAAATACTGAAAAAATTTGACGAATACTTGAAAAACGCGGTTTTTTCCCTAAAGATTCAAATTTCCATTTATACTCAGTAGCCTTGACAACAGTGACAGTTTCGGTCCTGTATAGAAGTAAATAAACAAATGTAGTCAGTCAGTCTACGGCACAGCCTCGAGCAGACCTGACTATTCAACAAAAAAAAAAAAAAAAGACTATTCAAAAAAAAAAAAAAAAATAAATAAAAAAAAAGACTTCAAAAAAAATAAACAAAAAAAAAAAATTTCCAAATCAAAAAGAAAAATATTTCAAATCAAAAATCTGCAAAAATTAAAAAAAAAATCAAAAGATTAAAACTTGACTAATCAAAAATAAATAAAAAATTCAAAATTCGAAATTCCAAAAAAAAAAGTTAATTATTAAAAAGTGTATTTTTGGCTTTTTATATTTTTGGACTTTTAAACTTTATAAATAATAATTGTGCGCGTGCGTACAAAAGCTAGATATCTCGAATGCTTAGGTATTTGTCTCAAACATAAATTTGTGTAAATTTTTTATATTTATATTTCTCGATTGTTTTATATGGTTTTGTGCGAGGGCAGTATTACTATTAATAAAAATGCCGCGTCCTAGAAGATCTAATCTTTCCCGGCGGACCCATAATGCAATTAGGCAACGGAATATCGCGAGTCAATTATCTGACGAAGAGCGAGAAATCGCCCGAGAAAGGCTCCGCGTTAGTACCCAGCAAAGAAGGGCCTTAATTCGTGCTTCTCAAAGAGAGGCAGCCCGTGAAATGGCAGTAAGAAATGGCTCAAGGATTG